TCGGAATCCTACTTCATCTTTTTTTATAAATTTTTTATGTTCTTGTTTGTGTTGATTTTTAAAATAATATTTATAGTATTTCTTTAGCTGCAATTGTGATACTTGTTGATTTTACACAAACAATAATTTTCTTTATTATTATTATCATTGTTATAACATTTATGAGAGACAGCATCGAATAGACATGCTGAAGGAATTAGTCTTGACACAAGTCCTTGTTCAAGAATCTGTGAGCTAAGAGTGTCCATCTTCCCTGCTATTCCTGTTCTTCCAGGCTGTTGTCAAGTTCATAATTATCATTGCATATCATAAGTCATAACATTAATTAATTGTTTGTTTTTTTAATTAAATAAAATAACACACTTAATAAACAGTAAAATGTAAAATCAATACCTTCTTTAGCTGGAAACCTCCACTAAAGTATTGCAGTAAGTTGATTCCAAGCATAGCTTGGTAAAAAATAACTTGCTTCTTCCAGAGCTGAGAGCTGCAGATCTGAGCATGCGCGACCACACCCAAATTTTGGAGCACATGGCAAGCTTCTTTAATTAACAAAATGGCGGCATGCAGCTAAGATGGCTCGATCCAGCAGTCACAGTATCACTTTTTCCTTACTTGAAGAATGATCTGATGGGACATGGACCTGCGCATAGACTGTTGAAGTAGATTGGTGTAAGAATTATCCTTGTAGCACCAACTGATACTGAGATACACACCGACAACTGGATTGACAGGACTTATGACTTGATGATGATGAAGATGAAAAAAGGTGGCTGAACAAAACGGCCGGTTCGCAGATTTTTGGATTTTCTCTTAGACAAGGTCTAGAGCCTCGCTAGTGGTACCAATGGAGTCCTCTGGTCAAGATGAGGTCCTCTAAGAAGTCTGGTAAGCATAGGAGCTCGTTTTCCCGGTATAGCAAGGCTGCAAAAGTCGTGGCAGCCATTTTGTTTGGGGGTGAATCCTACTTAGTAACGCTACCGCGTTACTAATAATAGCCCATGCTTTTTTGTGGAAAATGGCTAAAAAATTACCCCCAAATTTTATTACATTTTCTGATACATATTGATGTCCTTATGCTGTGTAGAAAGTTTGAGCCGATTCCGACTCAAACTTTTCAAGTTACGGCCATTTTAAGAAATTTGCCAAAATCTAAAAAATACCCAAGACTATAGCCCATGCTTTTTTGTGGAAAATGGCTAAAAAATACTCTGTACTATTAGCGCATGCTTTCCCTCAAAATACCTCAATAATTCCTCCTGTGTATTGGGATATGGATCCATCCACTTCACTGCTAGCAACGTCGCTCCAGCTGGTCTTAGGATTCACAAAGTGTTCTTCGGCTAGTTCCACTAGTTGGGTGTGGTCGACGTTGACACCAACCAGAACCATACGACTGGGAATGTAATGTGAAGCAATAAAACGTTTAAGCTCCGATAACTAACAAAAAAAATGGGAGAAAAAATTTATTTATTTATTTATTTAGAAAATACTAAATAAATAAATAAATAATACACTTACTGTCATTTCATTAGCTCTATTGCTGTTACTAATGCTAGGTAGGCCCAGTGTGTTGTTCCTGTATGCTGCTTGATGTACCAGATCCATTAACAGTGCTTCAGGCTGCGGCCTGTTCTGATGGTCCTCCCATTCAAAAAGAATAGCCTGTCTTGACTCTTCTAACTAGAGAAGAGAGAGAGAGAAGGAAAAAAGATGAAGCTATATACAAGTAGTACTGTATTTTATTTTAGCAGTCCTGTTATGAAAATTCAATTGACTATTTTTATTTTGGCACTTTTACATGCACATGTACATCAATGACCAAGCATGTTCATTAACTTAACAAATGGCAGCTTCAATATTAATCTCAAATTATCTCTTATAAACTCTACCAAATACAAAACACGTAAATTATCAAGTCCAATCCTACCTCTCTTTCTAGCAGCTGCGGTCTCCATATTACATCGGATAATATTGACATTACGAGTGGAATGGAGTAAGAGAAAACGGAGACGCTATAGAACATGATGTCACGGAAACACTGGAAGTCAGGGAGACCTCCATATTGCTCCAACTCAAGGAGGAGACTGTCACGAGAACTGAACCTTGAAGTACTCTATATAAAATAAATAAAAATTAAGATATACATGTACATGTACATGTATGTAATTATAATATTTTTATTAATTACTTGGTATGCCATTTTCGATAGGAACTGAGAGACTCCACTTTTATAATCAACTTCATAACGAGATCCAGCATCAATAAAAACTAATAAATAAATAAATAAATACTTTACACCCACAAAATTAATTGACAATCATTTAAACCACGCCCATTAATTAATTCCATGTATATAGCAATAAAATGGTTGCTGACCTCCAATTGTGCTGTATTGCCCGAATGAAGACTGGGAGGCTACTCTCAGGCCATTGGATAGTTGAGTAATCTCGGTCTCTCCTTGCATTCCTTCTTTAAACACTAGGGGAGATCCATCTTTTTGAAATAGAGGAGGGAGAGGAGGAGAGACGGGGACTGAGAGGAGCTCTCTTGGATACTCCCCGCCATTAGAACTCCCTGAGAACCTAGAGAACACCAGTGGAGAGCAGGTTCTACCGTTAAAAACTCTCAAACGGCTGAACATGGTCGCACGTGTGGAAGGGTGTGGCTTTGTAAGTACTGGGTGGAGCTTCATATTCACCGCCCACGCACGAGCAAAACTGAGGGTGGGGCTGGGTTCCACTTCAAACGCAGTTGTACTTGTATATTCTACAATTGTTCTCCAATAAGAAATAGAAAAAAAAGAGAAGAGCTTGTACTTTTATAAGTGACTGAGCTCTGCAAAAGGAAATTTATTCTGCTACTAGTTACAGAAGAAGAAGAGAAAGGAGATTGTAGAACAGTTCAAGTTACAGCAGCAGTACCGCCCCCACACTAGGGATATGTTACTGCAACTAGTGACACTTCTACTGTGCACATTTGGTAAGAGAGAAAAATAAACTAGAGTCTGATAAATTTGTGCAATTTTATGCTTGTCTTCATTTCTCTTTCTCTGTTTCTTTCAGGTCTTGCTTCTTCACAGGAAGCTTACTATGGCTACCATGGCTACTCTTTCTTCTCCTCGGGCAGCCAAGTTCTATCAAGAGGCAATGAGTCTCTCTCCATTAGCTTCAGGTCCTGTCAATCTGATGGTCTCCTCTTGTATGCAACAGAGTCCTCTCCTGGTACTGGGTACTTCTCAATCGGGATCTACCAGTCAAGGATATTGATTGAATTCAACTTTGGGAATGACTTGAGAGAAGTAAGAATGCAAGACATTTATTAATCACTTTTTTGTTTTGCTGTGCAGTCTCAAATAATATTAATTGTTCTACTTCTACTCTCCTTTTCTTTTTTAAAAGCTATTACTGTAACAAGCTGCACTTCAATCTTTATTATTTTTATTAATATTTTTATTTATTTAATTAGATAATTCAAACTGGTTCCTCGCTCATCTCCAACAGCTGGTACAGGCTGGATCTCCTCAGACTCAATGAAGGCAGCTCTGGTTTCTCGTTACTACTCAATAATGAGTCACTGTCTGTCCAGTCGGACAACTTTGAGGGGATCAACTTTGAATTTCTAGATGGACCTTTATACATAGGAGGGCATCCTAACCCAGTGGCAATAAGTGTAAGAGAGGGAGGGAGGGAGGGATTGAACCAGCTGCCACTGCAGGGGATTAAGAAGAGATAAATTCTCTTCTGTTATTGTGTAGCAAATAGTGTTATAGCTTTAAAAATTCACTTAATGACAGTAAAATTGATATAGTTTAAATAGTAATTCTGTTATTAACAATGATTTAAGCTCAGTGTGACAGCAGTGTGACATTATCATTAAATGAATAATGGTTGAGTTACATGTTTTGAATTTATCACACACAAACTTCTCGTGAATATTGTTACTATAAATAGATTCGTTGGGATCAGATGTACTGTTGCCATAGAAATAGTATTTATAGTTCACTTTAGCCAACCAACCACACACACACATTCACACACGCACACACACACACACAATTTTTATTAAATTCCTTCTCCTACAGGTACTAAGATTAAGGTCTACATTAGATGCTTGTATAAGCGAAGTGTCTACTCCTGCTGGATCTATTGATCTAATATCAGCTGCTTCTCCTAACGTTGTTAGCAGCTGTCCAGCTGGACAGTGTCAGATATCAACTAGCCTGACCTTCTCTTCTCTTCATTCTTCTGTCTCTTTTCCTTTGACTGGGAGGTCAACGTCTTTCCTAAAATTACAGTTTTACTTTCAAACAAGGTAAGAACAACTGCACGTTATTGGTCTTCTCCACACTTTTGTGTAGATAAAGTACAAAATGCATGATAAAACTCATTGGTTCCATTGTCACGAAATCCATGACAAGCAAAAACCCATTGGTTCCATTGTCACGAAATCCATGACAAGCAAAAACCCATTGGTTCCATTGTCACAAAATTTGTGACAAACAAAAACCCATTGGTTCCATTGTCATGAAATCCGTGACAAGCAAAAAGCCCATTGGTTCCATTGTCACGAAATCTGTGACAAGCAAAACCCATTGGTTCCATTGTCATGAAATCCATGACAAGCAAAAAACCCATTGGTTCCATTGTCACGAAATCCGTGACAAGCAGAAACCCATTGGTTCCATTGTCATGAAATTCGTGACAAGCAAAAAAACCCATTGGTTCCATTGTCACGAAATCCGTGACAAGCAAAAAACCCATTGGTTCCATTGTGTTTTATAAATTTCTCAATGCAGCCTATACATTCACAGTACATCTATATCTACTATTATAGTCATGCTTTATTCTAACATTTTATACTTGTATTTTTCCTTTTTATCTTGCAGTATATCAAATGGTCTACTGGTGAGTATTGGTGGTACCCAGGTCGATACCGATGTACTGATTGTGTACATGGCTAACGGCCAAGTGTTTGTTAATCTCACTCCAGATTCCAATGGCCTCTCTCCAGGGTACACTCTCGAAACAAGCTCTGCCTACAACGACATAATTCTTCACAAGTTTGAAGTTATTTTCAGTAATGGACAACTTTCAATGAGCGTTGATGACAGTGACAGGCAATTAACTTCTGGTGAGCAATGATAATTTATTGAACTACGTTATTAGTAGCATTATTGTATTTTGTGTGGTTTATTAACTTTTTCATTTTTATTAATTTTTCTTTTAGTGCCATCATTCTCATTCAGTCAGTCAGACTCCATTCGTTTTGGTACTAATAATATTACATCTATCATACCTGACCTACCCATTGCATCCACTACCTCATTCACTGGTTGCATTCATGATATCAGACACACCAACAACGGACAGTTATCTCTTATCGACACTTCCACGTCAACTTCTACTACTAATGTGACTCTAGATGCTTGCGAACCAGCTAATACTTGTCCGCAAGACTGTGAGAGTCCTTCCCAATATTGTTATTTTGTATGTGAATGTGCTGCCGGTTTTAATGAAACTGAAACCGGCCAATGCTCTGAGATAAACGAGTGTGATTCAAATCCTTGTCTTAACGGAGCCACCTGCAATGATCTGATTAATAATTACACATGTACGTGTACTGAGGAATTTAATAAAGGAAGACATTGTGAGCTGGCTAGTAGCTGCTTTCCAAACCCTTGCACTAATGGAGGGAGCTGCATAGACTTTCCAATTGGGTACTATTGCAACTGCACTGGTGGTTGGGGCGGAACCAATTGTACTCTTAACATTAACGATTGTGAAGAAGACACTTGCGTTAATGGGATCTGTGTTGATCTAGTAGGAGGGTACCAGTGTTTATGTAAATCAGGTTATACCGGTATTCGCTGTGATATTGAGATTAATGAGTGTGCCCCAAACCCGTGTATGAACGATGGAACCTGTACTGATCTGATCAATGGATTCCAGTGTACCTGTGCCAATGGGTATACTGGCGGGTTTTGTGGTACAGAGGTGGACGAATGTGACCCTGACCCGTGTCAAAATGGAGCCACCTGTATTGATGGTATTGGTAACTATACGTGTTCCTGTCCCCCCGGGTTCATGGGGATGACTTGCGATGGAGATATCAATGAATGCCATAGCAATCCTTGTTACCATGGTGGCACTTGTGTGAACAGGTTAAACGGGTTTGATTGTAACTGTCCGGACGGTTTCACCGGCTCGCTCTGCGAAGGAGATGTACAGGAATGTCTTTTGAATTCGTGTGAAAATGGCGGTATTTGTCAAGAGCTATCAGGTGGAGGATACGAGTGTTTATGCAAGGCTGGTTGGGTTGGTAATAACTGTGAAGAGTCCTACAATGAGTGCTTAAGCGGCCCTTGCTTAAATGGAGCTCAGTGTATTGACGGTCACCTAACATACACTTGTGAATGCAGTTTGGGCTATACCGGCTCAAACTGCGAGATAGATATATACGAGTGTGGCTCAAATCCTTGTCTTAATGGAGCATTTTGCATTGACCTTGTAGCTGATTATTACTGTTACTGTGCTACAGGTTTCTTTGGTGATCACTGTGAGTTCAGACTCAACAGCTGTGACATTTTTCCATGTCAGAATAATGCCACTTGCTCCAATACGGTCCCGACTGGTTACCAATGTGCCTGCCCTCCTGGGTACACCGGTACGAACTGTCAAACTAACATTGATGACTGTGCTTCTTCACCGTGCAGTAATAACTCAACCTGCATTGATCTGGTGGATGGATACATGTGTGATTGCAGTCCTGGTTTTGAAGGATTCAATTGTACTATTGATATAGATGAATGCTCATCTTCACCTTGTTTCTATTCTGGTACCTGTATAGACCAGGTTAATGGCTTCCACTGCCTCTGTCTTGAAGGTTTGCTTGGCACAAGATGTGAAGTAGCCCTTGCTAACTGTCCCTCTCTTCCATGTTCTTCTTTTGCTACTTGCAATGAGCTAATAATTGGAGGGTACGAGTGTTTATGCCCACCTGGTTATACAGGCAGTCAATGCTCCCTTGATATAAATGAGTGCTTGCTTCCTCCATGTCAATTTGGTGGCAATTGTACTAATTTTGATGGCGGGTATAATTGCTCTTGCTCTCCTGGAACTACTGGCAAAAACTGTGATATTAATTTAGATGATTGTGATTCTTTGCCATGTCAAAATGCTGGAACATGTACTGACCTAATAAACGGCTACCAATGTCACTGCCCTGTTGATCACACTGGTCAAAATTGTGAGCTAACGATCGATGATTGTCTTTCGTCTCCTTGTCAAAATGGAGGAAACTGCACTGATTTGATTGGTGACTTTTCCTGTCTTTGCCTTGGCGACCACACTGGGTATACTTGTGATACGAAACTCGATGTTTGTGCTGAACTAGCTCCTTGTCATAATGGAGCTCCATGTCATTCGATCAATAGTTCCTCTTACTCGATTTTAGATTATTATTATTGTGATTGCCTGCCTGGCTACACTGGGACTAACTGCTCTATCAATATCAATGAGTGTTCTCCTTCTCCTTGTATTAATGGCGGTAACTGCACTGATGGTATTAATAGCTACAGCTGCTCCTGTCCTGCTGGTATCACTGGTACTAACTGTCAGTTTTTAGATTCATTCACTGTTGCTAGTGATGAAGGGTATATCTCACTCCCTGGGCTGAGTGTTGGATCTAATGGGTCCATTCATGTTAGCTTCTCATTTGCTACTACACTCTCCAGTGGAGTCCTGCTCTATCAAGGAGGAGTAAGTGAAATATGTGTACAAAATCAGACCAAAGTCCCTGTACTATAGTATACGGTCCCAAGCCAAATTTTACCAAAATTGAAAAGGAGAAATCTCTCCACTTTAATAATATTTTCTGATATGTATACATGTACTTACGTGTATGTTGTGTAGAAAGTTTGAGCTGATTCCGATCAAAATTGAATTTTTTGTGAATTTTTAAAACTGACCCATTATACAGTGTATGAATTTACATGTACATGTAGATTAATCCAAGTTTTTTTATTCGTTTTTTTCTCCTTTTTTTTCAGGTCATCACAAACTCTTATCTTGGTGACTTCCTATCTCTTGAGCTAGTCAGTGGTGGATCTTTACTCCTTAAGTATGAAACAGGTGGCGGGCTCAGCCCTATGAAGACAGCTGTAATAGGACGTGATACAAATGATGGAGAGGTCCATCATGTCGCCATTAGCATAACAAGCAATGGCACTGCCATGTTACTTGATAACGGACTCAACTGTACGACTGGTCCCAGCTGTTACGCAGAAATACAAGCAACTCCTCCATCTCTCCCTCTCTTCTCTGGCCCATTGTACTTAGCTGGTGTTGAGATACAGAATAACACACAGTTTCATTTGGAAAGAACAACATCTCTTATCTGCTCATTTTATTCCATTCGTATCAATCATAGCCCCATTGAATACCAGTCAGTAATGAAGAGTTCATTCATAGATTTAGGTTCTACAAGAACTGGTGGTAGTCTGTGTACAACTGATATTTGCAATAATAACCAGCAGTGCATTGATTTATGGGTCGGCACTACTTGTCAATGTGCTTTGGGATATTCTGGTGATTTCTGCGAGAGATTAAGTACTGTGCATTTAATAGAGAGTTCAGGACTTCAATTTCATGGTATTACTGATAATATCATTGGATTTGAATTTACTGTACAGACTGACTTTGGATTTCTACTAAGCATTAACCAAGTAAGAGAGAAAGAGAGAAATAAGAAATATTGAGCCTAATTTAAATAGACATTTATTACCATTATCATCATGTCATTTACTATTATCATTATTATTATTATTTATTAGTATTATTATTATTATTATTATTATTATTATTATTATTATTATTATTATTATTATTATTATTTATTATTATTTATTTATAGGTTAACAGTACTGATAGTGTCATGGTAACTTTAGACGGTCTCTATCTCACTTTACATTTCATCAAAGAAGACAGTATAATCCTCAGCTCTCATACAGTCCAGCCATTAAACGATGGGAACTGGTTCAGAGTAACCATAAACCTACAGAATAACTTCACTGAGCTCTTAGTCCAAGGAAATGGAAGTATATGTTACAGCTTTGGCTGCACTATAACTGCTAACCATCCACCACTCTTCTCTCTCTCTCCTCCTCTCTCTCTAACGTTTGGTAACGCCCCAGCTGTTTTAAATTCAACCAAAGCCCTCTTGAACCAATTCCTATTCACAAACGGAGTGAATGGCTGTCTAAGAGATGTAAGATTTAATGGTAGAGCTCAGGATATTCAGAGTGGTCTCCTGGGCTCATTCCCAGCTCAGCCTGGGTGTCCACGTGAAGAGTATTGCATTCCTAGTCCTTGTGGTAATGATGGACTCTGTGTTGCAAGTTGGAATGGATACTCTTGTCAATGTGGAGTAGATTATGAGGGACATAACTGTACTGAAGGTATGTAACCCTTTGAAATAATAAAACTTTAAAAATCAAAAATATTTAATAATAGTAATAATAGCAGTGTTTTAATTTTAAACTTATTAGCTTTGATACTTTTGCTGTTTTATTATTATTAATAATATTATTATAATTCGCTTTTGCTTATTAATATTATCAAGAGTACTCTTGATATTATTATTATAATAAATGTTTTTTTTCGATAGGTGCAGCCTCAACAGTTACTGGAGACAGCAGTTACATTGCTATTAATGTTAATTCTCAATTACTAGTCATTGGAGATGAAGGATCTCTTGATGTACGTACTGCTGATAGAGACGGGATCCTGTTTGTAGCAGTGTGGCCATCAGCAGTTTTGTATAGGGACTTTGTTTCCATTGAAATGATAAATGGAAGTCTTCACATGAGAGCATCAATAGGAGGAAGTAAGATGTTAAACTAATGTAGCCATTTTGGTTGATATAAAGTAGTACTTTAGTACAGGGACTTTTACTCGATTTTGGAGCAACTTTAAAAATTCATAAAAAATCTAATTCTGATCGGAATCAGCCCAAACTTTCTACACAACATAAGTACATGTATATGTATCAGAAAACATTATAAAAGTAGAGATTTTTTTTTCCTTTTCAATTTTGGCAAAATTTGGCTCAGGACCGTGTACTGTAGTACAGGGACTTTTACTCGATTTTGAAGCAACTTTAAAAATTCATAAAAAATCTAATTTTGATTGGAATCAGCTCAAACTTTCTACGCAACATAAGTACATGTATATGTATCAGAAAACATTATAAAATTGGAGAATTCTCACTTTTCATTTTTTGCGAAATTTGGCTCAGGACCGTGTACTATAGTACAGGTACTTTTACTCGATTTTGGAGCAACTTTAAAAATTCATAAAAAATCCAATTTTGATTAGAATCAGCTCAAAATTTTTACGCAACATAAGTACATATATATCCATCAGAAAACATTATAAAAGTAGAGATTTTTTCTTTTTATTTCTTGCAAAATTTGGCTCAGGACTGTGTACTATAATAGTACAGGGACTTTACTCAATTTTGAAGCAACTTTAAAAATTCATAAAAAATCTAATTTTGATCAAAATCAGCTCAAACTTTCTACACAACATAAGTACATGTATATGCATCAGAAAATATTATAAAATTGAGAATTCTCACTTTTCATTTTTTGCGAAATTTGGCTCAGGACCGTGTACTATAGTACAGGGACTTTTTCTCAATTTTGAAGCAGCTTTAAAAATTCATAAAAAATATAATTTTGATCGGAATCAGCTCAAATTTTCTATGCAACATAAGTACATGTATGTGTATCAGAAAATATTATAAAATTGAGAATTCTCTCCTAGTCATTTTTGGTGAAATTTGGCCCGTGACCCTGTACTATAGTACAGGGACTTTGGCCTGATTAACTTTAATATTTACTAAATTCAATATAATTAGAACCAGCTCCAAATTTCTGCATAACATACATGTTCATTGTACATATTATGTATGTACCTTATTTTAAAATAGACTTTATACATCAGTTATTATTTCTATTATTCTTTTACAGATCATACCTCCCTCTCCCATCCAAGCCTTATCTCTGACAGCAGATCACATATGATCAAATGGTCAATATCATCTCACAATACGACCCACACTAGCATCAGCATTGATGCTAACAACCATCTCATCTCTTCACTCTTCTCTCAGTCCTACTCCAGACCTCAATCCGATGCTATTAATATTAATTTAGGAGGTGTGGCTGACCCCACCTCTCTTCCTGATAGTGTTTCGCTCAGTAAAGACTACATAAGGGCCTGCATTGATTCATTAATCCTCTCTGATGATCATATATCATTATATAACAATACACAGGCTTTATCTCTTACAAGAATCAACGTAACTAGTGGGTGTGGTTTAACAAGCCTATGCTCCGCCCTTCCATGTTCCCCCAATGCTACATGCATGGACGGGACCTTTGACAGCTTTACATGTACATGTCAAGCTGGTTTTACCGGTCAGACGTGTCACGATGACATCAATGAGTGTCTTCCTGAACCTTGTGGGAATGGAGGCACATGCATCAATGAGATAGCATCCTTTACATGTATCTGTCTACTTCCTTACAATGGAACATACTGTGAAACACGATTGAATCCCTGCCAGCCTAACCAATGCATCAATGGATCCTGTATTGATCACAATAACAATACATATAGCTGTGCCTGTCAGTCCGGTTTTACTGGTTCCAATTGCGAGCATGAAATCGACGAGTGTCTTTCCAGCCCATGCTACAACAATGGCACCTGCATTGATGTCATATCTGATTTTATCTGTACCTGCGTACCAGGGTTCACCGGTCACCAGTGTCTCACCAATGTCAATGACTGTATGCCTAATTCTTGTTACAATGGTGGGACTTGTAACGATGGCGTTAACTTCTTCTCTTGTAGCTGTCCTGAAGGTTTTGATGGCGATCAATGTGAGGTAGACATTGATGTGTGTAACAAGAGCAGCTGCTCTAATAATGGAACTTGTCTTGAAGGATATGGGCCATCCTTTACTTGTCTTTGTCAAACAGGTTTTACTGGTCAGCTCTGTGAGAGTGAGGTACCTCCTTGTGATCTGATGCCGTGTGAACACAATGGTAATTGTACTAACCTGATGCTAGCTGGTAGTGGATCTGGTCTGATGTCACTCAACTCTTATCAATGTGATTGTACTGATGGTTATAAAGGAGTCAATTGTGAGCTTGTTGATCAGTGCTTTCCCAATCCTTGTAATAATTCCGGCTCTTGTTTACCGGTTGATGATACCTATCGCTGCGTGTGTCCTCAGACGTACACTGGTGAACGGTGTGAGACCGCGGTCGACCCATGTACCCTCTTGGATGATGACTATTGTAACAACGGTACATGTATATCCCTGGGGCTTGGTTTAAGCGTTAGTTGTGAATGTACAGCAGGGTTCACAGGAACTAACTGTGAATCTGACATAAATGAATGTTTATCTAATCCTTGTCATCATGACTCCACCTGTGAAGATCTAATAAATGGATTCGTATGTCACTGTCCAGCTGGTTTCACCGGAGTCCTCTGTAATACTAATATAGATGATTGTGGGTCTAATCCTTGCTATGGAGAGTCCACATGTGAAGATACTATTAATGGATTTATTTGTCATTGTCCGGCTGGTTTCACGGGCCCCTTATGCAGTAACCCTATCAGTTATTGCCAGTTGATTCCTTGTCTTAATAACGGGACCTGTATTAATGAGGAATTTATAGGCTCGGGATTTGGGTCTGGTAATATTGGTGTCAGGGGCTCCTGTGTATGCCCCCCGGGGTTCACTGGTCCTCTATGTGAGATAGAATCACCTTGCTATACCAATCCATGCAGAAATGGTGGCTCTTGTTTCGAAGAAAGTGATAACTATACTTGCAGCTGTCCTCCATTATATACTGGGACGGAATGCCAAGACGAGATTAATCCTTGTCTTAATATAGACTGTACTAATGGTTCTTGTCTGCTCATGAATGGTGTACCAGTATGCGTGTGTGACCATGGCTACACTGGACAATACTGTCAGACTAATATCGATGACTGCTCCTCTTCTCCTTGTCATAGTGATGCTACATGTATAGATGGGGTAGGCCAATTCTCCTGCGAATGCTCTCCTGGTTACATTGGTGACACGTGTGAACAGATAGACTTCTGCTACCCTAATCCATGTATCAATAAGGGTATATGTAGTTTAGGCAATGATTCATTCACATGTACGTGTACTGGTAATTACACTGGCCTGCTCTGTGAGACTCTTATCGACTACTGTAATAATTCTAATCTCCTCTCTTGTAAAAATGATGGAGTGTGTCTTAACACACCTGATGGGCCTATGTGCAACTGCAGTGAAGGATTGGCTGGTAGAGATTGTTCGGTAGACATTCTGAACAGCTGCTCTTCAAATCCTTGTGGTCTGAATGGTCTGTGTATGGATCTACCTATTGATTATAAGTGTTATTGTCTACCGGATTACACTGGTGATAACTGTGAGAGTGTCATCGATGACTGTCTTTACAGTAATTGTACCAACAACTCAACCTGTGTGGATGGGATTGGTAATTACACTTGTGAGTGTTCTATTGATTTTGATGGCCAATATTGTGAAGAGATTGTCGATCATTGCGATGAAGTTGAGTGTCTAAATGGTGGTACTTGTCAATCAGTAGCAGGTGGATATTACTATTGTCTATGTAATGAGTTTTATAATGGAACTAACTGTGAGAATAGGATTGATCCCTGTCTATCTCTTCCTTGTAAAAATGGAGCCACTTGTCACGTAAATGAGGACAATTCGTACCAGTGTTCCTGTCCATTAGATTACACTGGTACAAACTGTGAGACATTGGTTGATTGTAGCCACGTTGGTTGTCTCAATAACGGTACCTGTAACACGTCTCTGTCTCCACCCACCTGTCAGTGTATCCAAGGCTACAACGGCTCTGCTTGTGAGCATAACATTGATGACTGTCAGCCTGATGATGTATGTAAGTATGGTAACTGCACTGATGGCGTGAATGATTTTACATGCGTCTGTGATCCTGACTACACTGGTCAATATTGTGACACACCAGTACACGGTTGTATAGAGTCTCCCTGCATTAATAACTCCACCTGTCTACCATCAGAATCTAACTTTACCTGCGTATGTCAACTGGGGTACACTGGACAATTTTGTGAGATGATGGTCGACCCATGTGACTCTCAACCCTGCACTAACAATGGTACCTGTGTCTCTAATGGTAGCTTGGCCTTTACCTGTGACTGCTCCGATGGCTATTATGGAGAATTGTGTGAATTTGAGGATTATTGCTTCGATAATAATTTATGCTCTAATGGTGGAACTTGTTATAATAATCAAACAAGAATGAGTCCAGGTTGTATGTGTCCTCCTGGTCTAACTGGAGACTATTGTACAGATCCTGTTAATGATCCGTGTCTCTCTGGCCCTTGTGGTAATGGGACATGCTCTCTCGTTGATCTCCATGGTAACTACTCCTGCGACTGTTCCCATGGTTATTATGGTGGTAACTGTCAGCTAATGGATGAGTGTGCCCTGTTTGTCAACGATGAATTGTGTTATAATAATGGATCCTGTGTTGATACCAATGATGGGTATTATTGTGATTGTTCTCTTGGATTCACTGGGTCTTCATGTGAAACTGACATTGATGAGTGCTCTGATGATCCTTGCAATAATGGAGCAACGTGTTTTGAGAGTTCTACAGACTCTTCTCTCTCCCCTGGAGACTTTCTCTGCTTATGCCCACCATATTATACTGGTCTAACTTGCAATACTTCTTTATCTCCCTGCCTCTCTTTGCCATGTCACAATAATGGTACATGCACTGACAACAGTGATGGATATCAATGCACTTGTCTCCTAAACTACACTGGAGAGAACTGTGACATAGAGCAGGATCCATGTGACCTCTTACTGTGTCAAAATAATGCTACATGCATCAGCAATGATGATACTTACAGCTGCTCGTGCTCTTTTGGTTACACTGGGTATCATTGTAATGAAATCATTGATGTTTGTGATCCTGATCCGTGTCTTAACGGAGGATTCTGTGTTGATAGTAATACGTCATTATCTGAGATATTAGCCTCAGGAGTAGTCACCATACCGCCAGATCAAGATGAGCAGTATCTTAGTAATTATATCGGGGCACGTCTTCCACCTTTTGGTGAGTTCTTATGTCTCTGTCAGCTCAATTACAGTGGTGATGCCTGTCAAGTGTATGAGCCTAACAATACATTCGCTTGTGAAGTTAATCCGTGTCAGAATAATGCCACCTGCCAATACTTCAATGAGACCACAATATGTCTGTGTCCTCCGCTAAAAATGGGCAACTACTGTCAATTTGATTTCATCGTAGACCCTCCTTGTCCCTGCTTGAATAATGGCACATGTAACGAGGGCTTTGAGAATGATCCTTTGATCGTTTGTAACTGCCTTGAAGGATACACTGGCCAATATTGTGAGACTGTCATAGGCTCTACTTGTAATAACAGTCTCTGTCAAAATGGCGGGACATGCTCTGGAAATGAGACTGATTTCACCTGTCAGTGTTTGGCTCAGTTTACCGGTCAATATTGCGAGCTGTATATTGATCCTTGTGATCCTGACGAATGTCAGAATAATTCCACCTGTATCGACACATTCGGCTCCTTTTATTGCGACTGCCCTCCGCTTTATACTGGAGAATATTGCGAAGAGTTTATCGATGCATGTCAACCTAACCCTTGTCTTAATGATGGGAACTGTACAGGAGATGGTAATGGATATACCTGTATGTGTCCAATAGGCTATAGTGGAATGAACTGTAGTAATAGCCATGTATGTATCAGCTCTTCTCCTTGTCTAAATGGAGCCACTTGTCTCATACAAGATGAAACGTACAGCTGCTTGTGTCCTCCTTCATTCACTGGTAGGAACTGCAGTGTTAATATAACTGAGGTCTGTCAGAACTCTCCCTGTCAAAATGGCGGGTCTTGTATCGCAGGTGAGGTTGGATACAGCTGCATGTGTAGCCCTGGTTATACAGGAGAGAATTGTGAAGAGGAGCTCACAGACCCGTGTATATTCGAGCCTTGCTTTAATGAAGGAACATGCTCCAGTAACAATGACAGTAATACTTATACCTGCACTTGTCCTAATGGAGTAACTGGTGATGACTGTGAGACTGATATTAATGAGTGCTCTCCTGATCCTTGTCTTAACGGCGGATATTGTGTTGAGAGTGGTACTAATGTGACTGATATTGTAGGAGGAGCTGAAGCTCTACTGCCTCCTTTCGGTGAATACTCTTGTAACTGTCTTCCGGAATATTCCGGCATGAACTGCTCCTTCTCCATTGCTTGTTATTCTGCTCCCTGCATGAATGGAGCAACTTGTCTCTCTGGCGTAGGAGGACAGCCTGTTTGTGTCTGTTTAAAAGGATTCACTGGCTCCTTCTGTGAAGAAGACATCAACGAATGCGACACCATAACCTGCTCCAATAATGGAACCTGCATTGAAAGCGGTACCAACATAACACAATTATTTTCAGAATTATCTCTAGAAAATTACAATATTAATGACATAGGAGCCTATCCTTTACCCGGAGACTTTACGTGCCTATGTCCTACTGGTTTTGCTGGTGTACAGTGTGAGTATGATGATCTATGTCTCTCTAGTCCATGTCAGAATAACGCTAGTTGTTCTGTGGTTAGTAGCATTGAGTTCTCTTGCTCGTGTAGCCCTGGTTATACTGGTGACCTCTGTCAGACTGATATAGATGAATGCAGTGAATTGAATCTTTGTTTGAATGAAGGAGTATGCATAGAGAGCAGTGATACATTAGAAGGACTAATAAGTGAAGGATTGTTACCAGCTGGGTATAATTCAACGCTACCATTTGTACCTCCTGGTGAATATGCTTGCCTATGTACTCCCTCTTATGCCGGTGTTAATTGTGAGATATTAATAAGCTGTGACCCTAATCCTTGCCATAATAATGACACCTGCTTTACCGATGGACTCACTGGCGTGATCTGCTTATGTTCATTAGGTTATACAGGTCAATTGTGTGAAACGGACATCAACGAATGCTCCTCCTCTCCTTGTCAGAATAACGGCTCTTGCTACGAGAGTAGCTCTGCCCTTTTACCATTTGAAAACTACACTCTACCCGCCCCTGGACAGTTTGTCTGTTTCTGCTCTGAGGGGTACTTGGGTCCATTATGTGAGACGATGGAGCCGTGCTACATTAACCAATGTCTCAACGGTGGTACATGTATACCCAATATTATTAATAATAATTTCACTTGTTCTTGTTCCGATCTTTATGATGGACGATTGTGTGAATTAAATGCAACCATGGCCCCCTGTACCATGTTCCCATGTCAAAACGGTGGTACCTGCATAGACTATGATTCACCGTTATCTCTTGTTATATTCCACAATGTAACCAATGCACTAGAGCAGGAGGAGTTTGTGTGTATATGTCCAATGGAGTATACAGGAATGACTTGTGATAGTCCAGTTAGTCCATGCTCTCCCTCACCATGTCTTAATGATGCTCAGTGTAGTATAGTTGATGATGAAGAAGGAACTTATAACTGTACTTGTCTACCTGGTTATACTGGGACTAATTGTGAGGTTGATATTGATGAATGTGCTGAATCTCCTTGTGTTAATAATGGCACATGTACCGACCTCATAAATGACTATAGCTGTGAGTGTCCTTATCTCTTTGCTGGTGATGATTGTGAAACTGATGTGCTTGCTTCTCCATGTCCACAACTTGGTTTTGATCTATGCCTCAACGACGGTTACTGTTACATATTGAACTCTAATCAGCTACGTTGCTATTGCTTGACTGGTTTTGACGGGGTCAATTGTGAAATTGATATCAATGAGTGTGATCCTGATCCTTGTCTTTATGGCTCCACTTGTCTTGAGAGTGGGAGCAACTCATCACTAGCCACGCCTCCTCCTGGTGAATTCCGCTGTGCCTGTACTCCAGAGTTTACCGGCGAGCTGTGTCAAACTCCATTCAACCCGTGTATACTTGATCCATGTGAAAATAATGGGACTTGTGTCCAAGATGGTTTCAATTTTACTTGC